GGGGAGGGGAAGGATAAATATGATGATGGCGGATGTTTAAGTTTTCTCACCTCGTACATGCCATGAGGAACAACAAGCCATAGGTGCTTCCATTCTTCCCGAAATCTTCTACGACGATCCTTTTCTCTCCATGTGAGATATTTATAGGAAGGTCCACCGGATTCATTCTGAACGCTTTCTTTGTTAGTATTTGAGGTATTATTTTCTTCCTTCTTAGTAGGCCCACGTTGTTTAGTGGGTGTGATGCGATTAGAAGCCGGGTAAGAGATATGATTCTGAGACGGGATTTTATGGGGATGAGTAGCCGCTGGAACACGTTTGAAAGTGCTGAATGGTTGCTTCTGACAACCACTATTCAGGGTTTCAGCTTCACAGCATCCTGAGTCTATGCTCTCGTGAGATGATTGGCCAAGATTGTTACAGTGATAGAGAAGTCCATCGGTGAAAAATTCGCTTTCTTCCTGCTTCATTTGTGTCCTATTTATTAATAGAAATAGGAAGATGTGAATTTTTAAGTTAACTTAATGACAGTTTAGAAATTAACCTAAAATTAAATAAGTTATGATAATTTTAAGAATAAAGTTAAAATTTTTGCCCAAAATGTTATTATAATATATTTTATTTCACATAAATTTACCAGCTTAAACGAGAATTTGCTGAAATGACTTTCGGTGTCACCTTTTAAATTTGAATAGTTTCTAGGTCACCTTGTTTGTTTCTTCTTGGGTTTGTGGTATCCGCACTATTATTTGACCCCCCCCCCCCNCCCCCCCCCCCCCCCTCCCACCCCCCACCCCTCCCTCTAAAGCATCTCATTTGGGGGTCCTCGAAATTTTGTACTTACTGTATACACTCATGTGTGTTTGTATATGTCCGGCTATACGGCAGCACAGAATTGTCAAACGCTTAAAACTCTAATAGTAAATTTCGCCTTGGCGATAGTGGTGACAAACCAGTGATTGTCAAGACGCAAATGATACGGTCCACTTTCAACAAAACTAGTGATTGTGGCGAACTATCATAACCAGGGTTTGAATGACTTGTGGGCAGGTTGTTTACTACAGCCACAACTTGAAAGCCGTTTCATGTGAGTGTTGACAGCCCCTATAGCATATGTAAAAGCAAAAAAGGCAGGCTTTACGCCATTGAGGCGCATAGATCAATGATCTCCTTGTAGAGTTAGCCCATTTGTGGACACAAACATTTCTGCCACTCACTCACAAACCTTTGGCTTGATATGTGGTGAGTTGTAATTACGTTAGTTATGCACAAAATGAGTTCAGACGTTTTAATGAAGTTTATAATTTATCGGAGAATGCAAATGACTCCCGCTTATTTTAAAAGTTGAAGTACTCAAATATGACGAAAGCTGTGCAAAATAATCAAGTTAAGTAATTTGAACGATAGTTGAGAACAAATGATGTTGACCTTAGTGACATTAGTCTCAAGGAAGACAAGCAACTTCCGACCTACTATGCTTCTAGAGTCACTTGAAATGGGTAATTTGGTTAATTAAGTGGCTAATTAAGATTTCCATGAAGACAATTGGATGAATTGTCTTACTACAAAATGTGATACAGATTGGTAGAACCTTCTCAGCAAATATCTAAATGATCTGGTCAAACGTACACATAATGTACCTAGCAATTGCCACCACAATCTTTAATGGGAAACAGTTGGTTGAGAAGTTAACAGCTCACTCTTACAAATAGATAAATAAATAATTGAAAAATGATGAACCATTTAAAAGATATGGCAATTATTATAAGAAAAATTATTTACAAATAACTTTTAAAAACCCTTGACCAGTAAAGTAGCCTCGTAGAGAATTGTATTTTATTTTTTTTCGATCTAATAATGATTTATTTACAATACTTCATACTATTTATGTACTAAAATTTGATTTGTAGACTTTGTATAGTAAATAATTAATATAAAGCATTAAACAGGCCACATATATACAAAAACCATAAACGGACAAAAAATTAAATATTTATCTTGAGTCTTTAAGCGGAATAAAGTCATTGTGCTTAAGGACCCCTACATCACTTGCACACATAGTTCTATCTAACTGTTAGATGTTTGACTATTGTTGCAATTTCAACTACCCCTAACACTGTCGTACTTTAAAGGAAGAAATCAATTTATTTATTTCCACCTTACTTTGTATAACCAGACGCTAGTTCTGAGTAATCACAAGTGCGACTCAATTGAAAGGAGTAAATCGGCCCTCCTCACCACCCTCTCCTTCTCCTCCTCCTCCTCTAATTATCCCATCTCAAGTTCTTTTGCCACTTCCATCTTTTTGCGACCACAGAAAAGGGTGTTTTCGTCTTTTTAGTAAATGATACTAAGTCAAATTCACCCACCTAATTAGTGATTTAATTGCACGTTATGTAGAGAAGGTGTGTGTAATTCTGTCTGCATGATTCATAAGAGGTCTAGTTTGAATTTGAAAAGATTCGAAAGGAAGCTATGCTTTCAATTTAATTGTTTCATTATAAATATATATATATATAAATATCAGAAGATTAATCTTAAATAGGGATGAGTTAGCAGTGTGCTAGGTAGACTAATATATAATTTTAGTAAATTAACACTTACAAAGATTGTTCTGGATAGAGAAGAATTGTGCTGGAGATGACTGAAGAATAGAGAATCAGTTCTGATAAGACGATATTGTACCAGCAGTAGAACGCGTAAAGAGATAAACTAAGTAAAATGCAGCCCAGTAAGGGCTATTTTAACCTCCGATGCGAATACGACCGCACGGCTGATACGCGGGTGTGCGGCGATTGGCTACTAGAAGCCACTGCCAGGTGGCAGTAGGCGCAACTTAACGATCTTGACGCCAATAAGCACACGCGTTGGCTGAAAGGCTTGCGCGCTGCGTGCAGTCGTTCATATCGTTACGAGCTGAGAGCGTTATACTGTGTACTGAGGTATTATAAAGAGGAAAGGGGTGTGCGTAGGGATAAGAAAAGGAGGTGGCGTATAAGTGGGGTCATTCGCCCCATACGCCCGCACATTCACACGCTCTCCTATTCGCGCCTCTAGAGAGGTAGACAGGTAAAGACTAATGAGATGTTATTCTCACTATCTACTCGAAACTTATCTTAGAAAAAACACTGATACTTAAGCGGACACACCGACGACGTTAGTGGAGTGATGAGGAGATGAGGGGGAGACCATTTAGAAGTATAAATGGAATAACACCTCAAGTCGCTGTCATTACTAAATTGTAACCGATTTCCTTAATGGTGTTGATGTGGCTTCGACTCTTCGTGAAAGGAAAATGCCCTTATTTCAATTAATTATGTTCTACTATTAATAAGAGAGCAAAACTTGATTCGTTTTTAATATTATCGTTAACAAAAATGTCTTTTCTTGAATTAACTCAAGATGAAATTATTGTGAAATTCTTCTATTAACTACTTAAAAGATATTCTTTTTTTCCGTTTAAAATATGCAGATGTGACCAAGTGAGGTCAAGATAAAATTTTAATCACTTTAAAAGTCTCAGTAAAACAAGAGCAAATAATGATCTATCTTCTCAGTATAATTACTATGATACAAACTACAAATTGCGGTTATGAATGCTTTTTGAGTAAAAATTGACATCAACTACAATTGTTACACGAAATAATAATTACAGAAGAAATTTCTTGTAATAATCTCAATAGTCTGCTAAATGATCTTTATGATCTGGATGCCTGGGTATGATTTAGTTCTGAAATTCAGGGGAAGAAATCCTGAAGTTCGACAACTTGAGATATTGGAATAATAGACAGTGAAATAGCCATTGTGAAGTGAGACTCTTAAAACTCTGTATTTTATAAATACAACCTGGTCCCTTCCCCCTCCCTCCCTCACCCACCCACCCTTCCTTCCTTCCTTCCTTCCTTTCTTAGCACTTATTGGTCTATTTTAAACTAATCCTCCCTTCCAGTTGTCTTCCCAATATTACATTTTATATAATATCCACCAACTTTTTCCATAATAATGACGTTCTCAAGATCAAAAGGGCTAAAGCTTGTGAAATGCAGTTCTTCTGAGAAATAGTAAGAATAGGAGTGGGGGGGGGGGGAATAGAAGTTGGTTACAATTGGGAAGTCACAAGTGCTGAAAATCACTTAACTTTCACAGAAAATAGATTAGCAATGATAACTCTTAAAATTTGATTAATGTAATTATTACTATTACTATTATAGAAAATTATCGATGCAAGCATATATTGAAACTATTAACCTTTCAGTAAAATACGCTGTTCCCCAATAATGGGCAATGCCATGCCAGTGTTGATGCGATGACCTATAAATAAGCATGACATCAATCACTCAATACATTGCAGCAACCTATTTCACCAGGTCAAGGTCACACAATCGGTTTCTACTCATGAGAAATTTTGGAGAAAGTGGAGTTATGTGTAGGTAGTACATTGTAAATTAGAACTTTGAAATCAATGATTCGTTTTAAATAATTTTTTTCAAATGGCAGGCTTTATGATATTTATCATTAGCACTTAAAGTTTAAGTGCTAATGATAACTTCAGCTTCCCCATGGGTGGGGGTACATATATATGGTAGTTAATTAGCTGTCTACTTGCTTCCCAGTATCTCTGGCTTTCCGTCCTTGTCTAGGGCTGGACACCGAATCAGGTGGGTCTTCTCCATTTCCTCCTGTAGGTTACATAGGGGGCATGTGGGTTGAGTGTATACTCCCAATCTGTGAAGGTGTTTTGCCAAGCAATCGTGTTCAGTACGTAGTCTAAACTCAGCAACGGCTTCTATTCTTGGCCAGTCGGCTATGCCAGAGAGTGTCACTGTTCACTGTTTCTCCTTTGTTCGAGCTTTAAGTTCGTTGCACCTTGAGGTCTGGAATTCTCTCCTGATTAAGGCCTTCATTGTGTGGAAAGACATCGACCGGTCTATGCCTTGCAAAAATTTTGACTTCTAATTTGACTTCTTCGTTTTAAATAATTGTACTTCATGAATGATGAATATGATTTTCGAATTATAGTTTCTTTTTAACGACAAATAGGTGAGAAAACTACGCTCCTTTTATTATAAGGAATTTCATTCATATCAATAAGTCCAAGTAAGCATTTTTAAATCCCCCCCCCCATGGATAGAGGGTGGCATCAAGGAGCCTTCTCAGTGAGAGACTCGAGTCCGGTCACCCTGAATTAATATCAATATTAACCATTGAGGTTGGCCGTTCCACTCACCGAGTATCTGCTAATGGGATTCGAACTCGTAACTTCTGGTCTCACAGACGAGCACATTACTCAATTTTCCGCAAATTCTGATATTTGCTAAATACTTTTCATTAACTTTTCAACTAATTAATATTTCGATTTTTATATCTATTTTCTTTAATTATTCCAAAAGTGAAAAATATTAATATAACTAAAAAATAAACTGGCAATGTTGAATGTGAATAGAATTTTATTTTTTTCAAGATATTGTCT